ATGAGTGGTCATGCTGCTAGACCGCGGCTGGTCGGATGTGTCGTTCGGTACACAATGGGACAGACCCGGTTGGGGCACAATGGGACAGCCCACTTACTGTCTTATTATGCCCCAACCCCTTCGTAAACAAAACTTTTTCAAAATACATCGAGTACTTCACTATTGATATATCTCCGTGTTGCATTTTTACTCCAGAGCAAAATGTGCAAGTGAAGGCAGTTTTATCTTGGTTTAATTTAAGGTCTTCTTCCATGTTGACAGCACTCATCGGGTATGATGCGTTTTCCGTATATGTGCTACTCAAAATACTTCCACAAGTTTGTCTTAAGAGTCAATAAACATTGGACTTTGCACCTGTCGGTGTTTAGAGCTCTTAAAACCTATCTTTTCGATGAAAAAACGCAGTGTCCCATCCTACCCCAGAGGGTGTCCCATTGTGCCCCAGACCGGGGCACAATGGGACAAGTGCAATGTTTTGGGAAAATGAAGAAATGTACCTGATGACATTAAAAAACAACAGTACACATCCCACCACTTTAAAGAGTACATGATTTACTATCGTTGAGGACGGTTTGGGGCATTCTAAGTCAAATATTCAGTTGGGTACGTCAATTTAAAGAAAAGTGTCCCATTGTGCCCCACCTTCCCTTAAGGCATCGCGTTCGTCCTCGCTTCCGCTGCTTCCGGCTGCGGCCGCGAGGAGCGCAGCGAGCGCAGCTTTCCGACACCACACTGCATCCGCCCTGCATCCGCCCGAAATGATGCGGTCCGCGGCCAGCTCGCTCTCCGAACGCCACGGCCCTCCCGAGAAAGCGAGAGGCACACAGTGGGCCAGAAGACCGGTGGAGGCGGACAAAAGTCTAGACGCGTTTTGAGCTCCAGAGTCACTGAATGGGACTCGAACCGAACGTGTAACCCCGTCAATGGATTCCTCGTTCGGAGAGCAATCCATTGACGGGGTCACACGTTCGGTTCGAGTCCCATTCAGCGACTCTGGAGCTCAAAACGCGTCTAGAGTTTTGGTCGCCTCCACCGGTCCTCTGGCCCACTGTGAGGCACTGTTTGATTTCGGAATGGTATCGAAGCAAGAGAGCAAAATGCGCGCGCAGAGCGACGCAGAGCATCGCGATGGCACGGCGCCGCTGGAAAACAGAAGCCATCGGTACATCGTTGCGAAGCCCGTAGCGCCAGGGCAGCGCTAACGCACTGCTAACGCCCGCAGTGTCGAAAACTGTCCCCATTTGGCACTTGTCCGGCACTTCCAGGAGTCCGTGGCCGCAGCAGGCGCGGCAGGCCATGCCGACCCATACCGCGATGACCCACATGGAATGCTTCATGGGGACCTCATACCCCACCCTGGGACCGTGTCGCTGGGCATGTCGTTTGGGGAGGGGGGACCCCGCACCTCAGGCAAGTCGCGCGCGGAGTATGGGGACTGCCCCCCCCCCTCCCCTTTCCTTCACCTTTGCCGGTCAAACGGGTTTCGCTTGTCTGCTGCTTCTGCTGCGCGCTGCAGCCTGTCACTAACACAATTATTTCCAATTCCCCCCCCCCTTTTCCCTGTCTTCGTTCGAAAGGTGGATGAACGCGGGTACCACGCCACTGGAAGAGCAGCAGCTGACTCATTGGCGCAAAGCTACAAAACCGGCTGTCCTGTCCGTCCGCACCCTGCAGTGCTGCAACGCTGCAGTGCTGCACGCCGAGGGCACGCCGATACACTGTACGCACGGGATTGCCAATTTATTCCCCGCCTTGGCCTCTCGGCATTCAAACGAGCAAAACATAAAAAGTGTCGGCACTCATTTCCCTGCCGGAAGCCAGTTCGTCCAGAGTCCCGGAGCCGCTCGGCGCGCTCGCCGTCGTGGGAGTCGGAGAGAGAGAGAGAGAAACAGAGAGAGCGAGGCAGAGACACAGAGACCGGCCGCGATGTGGAGAGGCTACTTACGCAGAGAGCATTTATTCCGTGCACCCAGTTCTATTTTTTAGTACTCATGTTTTGAATTCTTAATGCGGCGCGCACCTCGGCGCCCTAACTAGGTTGTTAGGCGAAGGGCCGCCGCCCTGCCGCCGCCCTGCCGCCGGGAAGGGCTCGAGAGGGCCGGCCGAAAGAGAGGCAAGGAAGGGCACGAGGCAAAGAGCGTCATTCAGTGAAACGCTTCCAGTGCGGTGCCCGACGGTGCCCTGCGGTGCCGCCATCGACGTGGTGGCGCCTCGGTCGCTCGCCAGTCGCCTCAATGAGGCCTTCGTCTCGTCGTCCTGTCTCTCTCGCACGCACGACCCCCACCGCCCCGTGAGTGCGCAGCGCCAGTCAGACACGTGCACTGTAAATGTCTCACAATGAACTGTGGCCCACTTTACAGTGAACGCGGCGCAAAGCGTGATGCGAAAGATGCAAAGAAAAGCAAGGGGGGCTGACTCCTATAATACTTCGTACACAGACCTATAATACTTGTATAATACCTATAATACTATAATCCATAATACCAAAAAATGCCGCACATTTAGTGCAGTTTCGGGTTCAAAATGAGAAAGTTTTGTAAAATTGTGGTGAACAGGCGTTCAGCGATTTTTAGACGGATCGTTAGAGTAAGGAAATGGCGCTAAGGCTGATGACAAGGTGCTGAGGCTCTTAAAGATGCGCGGTAGTATTTTGAGGCTCAGGAGCGCAAGCCGGAATCCTTGTTTTCAACTAACTTGCGTATTTCGGAAACCTTTGGTACACGGAAAACCACTTAAAACGACACAATTATCTAAATAAAATGTTCGGAATAATACCTATAATACTCTATAATACCTATAATATATAATACTTCGTACACGGTTCGGGAGAGTCAGCCCCCCTTGAAGAAAAGCCTAGGTTCGAGGGGGTAAACACTTGCGTAATACCCTGTACACAAAAGTCGGGTATTACGCCGTAATACGCGTAATAGTAATACATTTTAGGACCAACAGTATAAAAAAATGTCATTTTTCAATGAAATTGAGGCGTAATACATACGTAATACAAGTGTAATACCCCGTAATAGGGAGTAGTCTGTACAAGGTTCACCGGAGTGTTTACCCCCTCGCCTAGGTTCGCATATCGCTTGCGCCATTTCCTTCGTACGAGAACTTTTTTCGTAAGAAATTAAGAGTGTATGGCGATGGCGGTGCTCGTCGTCGGGCACGTCGTTGCGTTCATCAGCGACGAAAAAGGCGCAAAAAGCGGCCGTGCCGCTCGCAGACATACACACTCTCACACACCTGCTCCGCGCGCCGCCCGGCCGCCACCGCTCCGACTAGGCCGTGTGGCCCGGCTGGACGAGGCTGGACGAGGCGGGCCGGGCCCACGGCCTCCTTGATTGGAAGCGCAGTGCTGTCGTCTGGACTTGAGCGACAGCCGTTTCGTAAGCAAAGGAATTGATGGTTATTGTCGAGGCGGCTATTTCGTTTTTTCGTCACATTGCCCCAGCTGGCCGACGCTAGCCGACGCAGGCAGGGCCACTGGCAGGGCCACTGGCAGGGCCAGCGCGGCTACTACGCCCTCGTCGTACGGAGGCGGTCGTCCCGTCGCCACGCCGCCTCGCCCCATGAGTGCGAGAGAGACGGAGCGAAAGGGCGCGCGGGGCCGCGGAATCGGCAGCGAGCACGACAAGCACGGCAAGCTGCAGATAACACGCGCGCTGAGATATTGCGCCGTCAGACACCTCCCAGTGCATCTCGCAGCCGCGACCTCCCCGGCCGACCCGGCTCCAGGCTGTGCCAAGCAGAAGCTTGCTCCGAAAAGCCCGTTCGGCGGGGGGACCAGGCGTCACAACGCCCTGGGTGAACACAGTGTACACACCGTGGCCGTGGCGCCGCAATCAGCGCCGTGGCGTCGCGGCGAGAGCGAGGAGGTGCCTCGACCCTAACGAGTCGAGTAGTCGACACACTCGGAAAAGCAAAAAGCAGCGAGCAAAGACGCCGCGCCGCCGCGCCGCCGACACAGCAGCCCTCATGCATATGGACGGTACGTGAGAGCTGATTATGCCTGAGAGAGAGGACCGCGGGACGGACGCAGCACCGGGCACGCCCCGTGAGTGCGAGAGAGACAGAGCGACGGAAGCCTGCTGCAGGGTCCCAGGGCGCCCGCGCCCATCGGAAGCACAGCCACGTTCGCGTCGATGCGATGGTGTGGTGGGCGCGGGGTTCCGGTGTAGTGCTGCTGGTATGGCCCCATCAGCAGCAGGTTCGAGTCCCACCCCACTTTGCCCCGCCCCGCCGCGAAATAGCAAACGGGTGAATCATGGCCTATGTCATTAGTCGTCCGCGCCCCGCGCCCATCGGCCCACCGTATCAGTATTTAAATGAGCGCCGCGGGGCGCGTCCGCCGGACCGGCACCGCGCTCTCGCTCTCTCAGTGTGAGTGTCTGGTCTGGCACACTGAGAGACCGCGACGGTGTTTTCGTAGACAGACCTGCCGGGCCGCGCTAGCCGCGCCCGTGGGCTCCTAGACACAAGCCTGACCCGTGCCAACAGGCCGGGCCACTCCACTGTAGGCCGGGCTACCGGCTCTCGCTCCAAAATAATCGTTATAGATCCTCAATCGGATTTATCACTTGCTAACACCACTAATTAAGTGGCGGCCGCATAAAGGGAAAACCGCTTCCCGTTCACACGTCTTGTGGCGTGTGTCTCTGTTCACCTCGCCCCGCCTCACCCCGCCCCGCCCCGCCCCGCCCCGCGGCACGCCACGGCGCGGCAAATTCCCACCCCGCCCGGCGGCACCCGCGCTCGTTCCAATAACACTTGGGAAATTCGATACAGTAAAGCAGGTGCTGCATGGGAACGCGTTGGCTGCTTCCAAACTCGTGCCGCCGTGCTGGGCGTGCCGCCGTCGACGAAGCCATTGTCCAAGTTGGCGAGCAGCTTCGAGGGGCGCGGCACGAGGCGCCACGAGGCACACACGGACGGCACTACTCCGAGTGCAGGAGGACGAGGGCTACCGACCCACCACCAGCCACCACCACCGATACACCTACCTTGACTCTGGCCAACATGGGTGGATCCGGAGGGCAGGGGTCGCGGTCGTCAGGGCCGAGGCCGCACATCACTGTGTCACTGGTGCCACTGTCACTGGCCATGGGCCTCAGCTTGGCCACGGGGCTGCATGCCCTGCCCTGCCCCGGCCTGCCGCATGGCGGGGAGGCGAGGCAAGTCACACCTCCGTCATGCTAAGCCGCGCCGACGACGCCGGGGCACGGCGCCGCGACCCGGACGACCTGGGAGCCTGCGGGGCCAGACGGGCCAGGCGGGCAGCGTGAGCGGGCAGCCCTAGGGGCTCGGTGGGGATGGGGCGAGCGAGAGGCCGACCAGCCTAGCCCAGCCGCACGTCGCCTGCTCTCGGTCTGCCGAGCGAGTCAGAAGAGCGGTCTGTCGCTCTGTCTCCGTCGCACCCTTTAAGGAGGGAGCCGTGAGAGCGACAGAGACAGAGCGATGAAGCGACTCTTCTAAATCGCTCGGCAGTGGCGTTGTCAGGAAAGGTCGCATGTCACGGTGCATGTCGCGGTACATGTCGGGGAAGTGCATGTCAACGGTGCGGCACTGTGCTCTCGCGGCTGCCCCCCGCCGCCCCGCCCCGCCGCGCCCCGCGGAATGCGAGCGCAACGCAGCGTCAACCTGTTGAGAGGGCGGCAGGGCGGCGGCAGGGCAGGGCGGCCCGTCATGAGGCAGTGGTGCCCAGTGGTGTGCCCGCGACGAAAAACGCGCCGCTTTCTCGTCTACTCCACGCTGAGTGCCGAGGTGAGTGCGGCGGGCTCTTCTCCAGATAGCGGGAGCCCAGTGAGGCGTGTGTCTCGAAGAGTGTCCCCAAGGGCGCCAGAAAGGGCCATACTTGACACAGTTCAGTCGTCAACCAAAGTACGTAGAGTTTAAGGAGTCAAAGGTGTTACAGGGCCACGCGCGCCAGCGTACATGTACAGCCGTGCGATTCAGAAAAGCGGTTTGCTGTCTCTCTCGCGCGCGCGTGCTCCCACGGAGGGGTCCACGAGTGCGACAGAGACAGAGCGACGAAACGCCTCTTCTGAATCGCTCGGCAGTCGGTACGAACACGGTGACAGTGCGACCATCAATCGCCTTCAAACGCCATCCGACCAGGCCTCGGCCTGTCACGTCAACGCTGAGTCCCGATGATTACCGGATATCCAAAATGTTGCACTCTCCGCACTGACACGCACACAAACAGAAACACACACTGTCACTGTCACACGCACGCAAGAACACTCGCGAACGCCCAACCCGCCGGACGGAGCGACTGGGCGGTTCACTACACTGCACCACACGCGCGACGCGCGACGCGTAACCTGGCGCGAGCGGCGAGGCGAGGCGAGCTGCGGGCCGGACTGCGCGGACTGCAGCGGCGGCAGCGGCGCGAGAGCCAGAGTCTCTGGGGCGACTGTGTGCTTAGCCGCCCGGCAGTGGCCGTCCCGGACCCCGTCCCCGACCCGTCCCCGGCCAGCCGCTTGCCGCAGCTTGGCTCGCTTGGCTCTCGGCTGGGCCGTGGCGTGCCCGCCTCGCCGTGCCCCGCTGCGTCAAACGCTCGCACCCGGCCGGCCCGCTACGCCCTGGCTACGCCCCGCCAGCCGAGCCGAGCCGAGCCGAGTCGCGGCGAGGACGGCGTCCATGCCGCGGTGTCCTCGCAGGGCCGACGCGTCGCGGAGGGCGGAGGGCGCGGGGCCGGAGGCGTCCCCCACCAGTAGCGCACCCGGGCTGCCCTGGGCCCCTGGTCCCCTGGGCCCGGCGGCACCGGGAGCCTTTTACTGTCCTAGAATGCCAGGCGATACGTAAGTGCAGGCTGGCGCGCTGGCGGCGGCCAGCCCGAGCAGCCAGTCGCGCTCAAGGCAACCTATCTCTTTCCCTCTCCCTCTGACACACACGCCGAGCGCAGCGAACGCGAAACGCGCAGCGCCGCGCTGCAGCGCATTGGAGTGAACACTAAATTCTTGGCTACAATCTCGAACTCTCGAACATAGTCTGAGGCTCCGGCATTCGGTTGGCGCACTGCGACGCGCACTGCGACGTCATGGCGACGTGCTCCAGCAATCGCAGCCCAGTCGACATCATTTCATGACGCAGTGTTTCAACTGCTGGCGTTCCCACAACTTTGCCCCAACATCTCAGGAACACGGCGTGCGTTCGCGGCGGCGTGACGCAAGGCGGGCAGCACGGCGCTCTTTGCCACCTGGGGGCAGTGGGCCGTGGGCTAGAAGACCGGTGGAGGCGGCCAAAACCCCGGACGCGTTTTGAGCTCCAGAGTCGCTAAATGGGAGTCGAACCGAACGAGTGACACCACCAATCGATTCCTCGTTCGGAGAGCAATCCACCGGTGGGGCCACACGTTCGGTTCGACTCCCATTTAGCTACTCTGGAGCTCAAAACGCGTCCGGGGTTTTGGCCGCCTCCTTATGGCCCAATGTACAGTGGCCCCAACCGGCCGACCCCACCTGGGCGACCCCACTGGCTGCGCTGCGCGGCGCTGCGGCCTCAGAGAGGCAAGGCGGCGGCGCGGCCGGGGGCACCAGCTGCAGGCAGCTGCAGGCTTGCATTAGACCTGACACTGAGCAAACTTGTTCTGGGAATGAAAACGCAGAGGCGCGCGCTAGCGCTATCAGCACCGCGTGCATGCTGCAGTGCATGCTGCAGTGCATGCTGCAATGCATGCTGCAGCACGCTGCATGCCGCGTCCCGCCAAGCACCCCACCACAATGGACGACTTGCCGACGCGGCGGAGGCGGACGGGACGGGCGCCTCTTGCTGTGTCACCACATACTTGCACGTTAGTGATAATCATTTTCGTTTATGTGCCGGTCTTTCGTTTGGATTCATCTTCCCACGCGTTAGGGCCGTGGTGCACAGTTGGTCCAGAAGACCGGTGGAGATGCCCAAAATTCTAGGCGCGATTTGAGGAACTGCTGAGTAGCAAAACAGGACTCGAACCGCACGTGTGACTCCACCAATGGATTGCCTCTCCGAAAGAGCAATCCTTTGGTGGGGCAAACGATCGATTCTAGTCCATTTAGCGACTCTGCAGCTCGAAAACGCGTCTAGAATTTTGGCCGCCTCTTCTGCGGCAGAGCATTATTTTCGCAACCCCGAAAGTGTCATTACAATGGAAAACGCAATGAGATGAAACAAAGAACGCCTCATCTACAAAGCAGCGGGTGACGTGGGAGCCAAAGAGCGTGCAACGCCGCGGCAGCGTCAACCGCAAGCACCACGAGGGCCGCGAGGACCGCGAGCACCACGAGGACCGCGAGCACCACGAGGACCGCGAGCACCACGAGGACCGCGAGCACCACGAGGACCGCGAGCACCGCGAGGACCGCGAGCACCACGAGGACCGCGAGCACCGCGAGGACCGCGAGCACCACGAGGACCGCGAGCACCACGAGGACCGCGAGCACCGCGAGGACCGCGAGCACCACGAGGACCGCGAGCACCACGAGGACCGCGAGCACCGCGAGGACCGCGAGCACCGCGAGGACCGCGAGCACCGCGAGGACCGCGAGCACCGCGAGGACCGCGAGCACCACGAGGACCGCGAGCACCGCGAGCACCGCGAGCACCGCGAGCAACACGAGGACCGCGAGCACCGCGAGGACGCAACAACCAAGAGTGCAACACGGTGCCCAGGGGCCTCGCGGGGCCTCGCGGACACGCACAGCTGCAGCGCTGCGGGGCGAATGAGGGAAAGGGAGACAAAGCGCGCGCGCGCACACACACACACACACACACACACACACACACACACACACACACAAACAAACACACACACGTACAGAGTTGCCATCCTGGACAGTCTGGACAGCCAACGCGATCCGGCCGTCCGACCGGCAGCACAAACACACAACACGACGACAGCGGCGACAGCAGCACCGGCATAGCGTTCCTTGGTTCGTTCACTTTGTCTCCTTCTCTTTTGGAAGCGAGAAAGACAAGGCGCGCCCGGCCGTCCAGGCAGGACGCGAGGCAGGACGCGAGGCAGGACGCGAGGCAGGACGCGAGGCAGGACGCGAGGCAGGACGCGAGGCAGGACGCGAGGCAGGACGCGAGGCAGGACGCGAGGCAGGACGCGAGGCAGGACGCGAGGCAGGACGCGAGGCAGGACGCGAGGCAGGACGCGAGGCAGGACGCGAGGCAGGACGCGAGGCAGGACGCGAGGCAGGACGCGAGGCAGGACGCGAGGCAGGACGCGAGGCAGGACGCGAGGCAGGACGCGAGGCAGGACGCGAGGCAGGACGCGAGGCAGGACGGCAGCCAAGGAGGAGCCCAGCCGAGCGGCCGCCTGCCATTTCTTGTACGCCATAAGCTACCTTGTTTGTCCAGGACTGCCTCTCTCTTTCTCTCTCTCTCACAGGCACACCGAGTGAGAGGGAGAGAGAGAAAAAGACGCGGCGGCGAAAGGGCAAAAGAGACCAAGACACACGGAGCGGCGAGCTGCACGTTATTATGCCGACTGTCGCCTCATCGTTCGAGTGTTTGTGTACGCGTGTCTGTGTGAGCGCATTTCACTCCGTGAGTATATGCACGGGTGTGCTTGTGTGTGTGCTTTCTCCGAGGCGATCACACACACACACACACACACACACACGGACAGAGGCGTGCGGAATTCGAGGGCTCTGCCAGGTGAGGGTCATGACCAAGAGCGAGTGTGGGGCATGGCCGGGCATGCCTGCACACGCATTTCATTTGCATGTGACCCGGTTTGAGGTGCGCGGATTTGGGCCGAGCGAAATAATCCGCCGCTCATGAAGAAGAGCTTGTCGAAGTTGGACGTGGTCGTGGGCTTCGCGCGTCCACTGTAAGAAGCTGCCTCTTTCTTTTTCTTTTCGCCTCCTTGCCCGGCGCCCGCTGCAGCGCGGCGCAGCGCGGTGCAGCGACAGGGGAGGGGGGAGGGGGGAGGGCCGGTTCCCAAATGTTGGTCCAGCCCGGCGACGCGAGGAATGCCAGGCGGACACGTTGTACTTATCGTCCCTTAAAAGTAAGTAGGCTCATTACGCGTGGCCCAATAATTGCAGCATTATTAGTCATAAATTACACGCATACTGGATTCCGTTCCCACTGCACTTGCCTTTTTATTTTTTTGGCGTTGAGCGCCGCGCGCTCGGTGGGGGGCTCCGTCCGCCACTTTTATCCGCAGTCCCGATCGGAAGGGGACGAATGACCCTTCGCCTAATTACCGCCGTACAGGTGCAACAAGGACGGCAACAACAACAACAACAACAACAACAAGACGACCAGCAAAAACAATGCAGAGCGACAAGGAACAGGACGTGTGAGCCCTGCACCGAGGGCCCCAGGCGCTCCAGCAAATCATGCCGTGTTCATTGGCCCGTTATGTTGCCAATGTCTGCCTTTCCGGTTCCAGCCGTGTGTCTCGCCGCCTCGCCCGGTTCCTGCACATCAGCCGCTCCGCTGTGCTCCGCTGTGCTCCGCGCTCCGCGACGCACGCTGCCACTGCCCGTCCAGGACCTGGCCAGGCCAAGCCGCCGCGCCCAGAATTCGGACTACCACCGGGATCAGGCACTTGTGCTGTTTTTATTTGATTGCTTTTTTGGTCAACTTGTTTCTGAATTGTTGTTTCGCCAAGAGCGCGCGCTGACTTTCGGAGGTAAAGTGATAACGAGCAAACTGTCCCAAAGGACCTCGGTCTCGGTGCACAGTGCACCTGCACACTGAACCAAATTCGAGATGTTGTAGACTTTGTTCGGGACTAGTACGTTGCCACAGTGGACTGCATTCCTCGTCGAAGTGGCCGTCGTCTGCGTGTGTGCTCGCGCGCGCATGAGGAGTCTTCACAGATTACCACTATATCAACAGATATGAAATTGGGCTCAGCCCGTTAAGCTTTTAGTGCTATAGGACACTAGGTATGTGGACCTGGCCTAATTATCACGCAAAATCCTATGGCTTGCCGTAACAGCTTTTCACACACGCTTTGCACTCACCGCATGAGTTGACGAGTCGAGACTTTCTTCCTAGTTCTTTACTCCTTATGCGTTTTTTTGCAGGGTAAAGCTCACGAAGAATGACGAGCAGCGAGAAGGACATTCGATACTGCTATCGAGCGAAATGCACATCTCGAAGGTGAGGAGGAGGAGGAGGGGGGGGAGGAGGAGGAGGAGGGGGAGGGGGAGGAGGAGGAGGAGGAGGAGGAGGAGGAGGAGGAGGAGGAGGAGGGAGGAGGAGGAGGAGGAGGAGGAGGAGGAGGAGGAGGAGGAGGAGGAGGAGGAGGAGGAGGAGGAGGGGAGGAGGAGGAGGAGGAGGAGGAGGAGGAGGAGGAGGAGGAGGAGGAGGGGAGGAGGAGGAGGAGGAGGGCGGGCGAAGGC